AGAAGTCACAGCTTGTATTCAATGCACTTTAGTGTTTGTTTTACAACTATAGAGATAATTGGGCAACTCTGGGTACCTGTTATCATATGGTACAGTAAAGCTAAGTGTTAAATGTGAAAGGATCACTTTTAATGTATAACAAAAATTGAAACAACTTTGACTGACATTGCAAATCAACATCTGAACATAACTTAAACCTAAACCCTAAGTGGATAATTATTGGTTTGTAAAAGCACGGTGTGTCATAAACATTAGCCTTTTTTTCATAAAATACTGTTTTGCTTTTTTTTGCATCTCAGTGCTACTTATCCCCTGGAGCCTGTTTTAGCCACCTCCTGTCTACATGCATTGATGTCAGTGCTCAGTGTGAGCTTTCTGATGGTGACAACAGTGGACCATGCCTTCGACTAAATAGGCCACTTGTAGTCTCCATCAAAAGCCTGGGTGACCAGATAATGCAAGAGCACAAATAGGAGATAGTAAGTGCCTAAACAAGAACCATCATGTCAGGATCACCAGGTATTATTTTAAAGAAAGCTTCATATTTAAAACAACTGAAAATAACTTGAAATCACAGTAACATGTTATAGCTTATATGAGATTTTAGTGATTGTTTTTAAATACACTTTAATGGTAATTTGTTCTTCATCATTAGATTATGCATTATTTACTGTATTATATTGTCGTGACACTTTGGGGTTGATTTACTAACCTTATAAACACACCACGAACATGTATACATCTCTGTAGTGTGTTCCCTCCCAGCATGATCTATGGGTGGAATCTAAACACCTTTGTAGTGTGTTCACACCCAGCAGGTGTGTTGTGCAAAGCCCTGCCCTGAATTGCAAGGTTATGTTGTGTAAATTAGCTCTATGTTATGTTGCTTGCATTGATGAATGCAGGAATGTAAATGCATGACCTAACCATTTTTGTCTAAACTGTGAAGCAGCATTATATATGCATCATGTGCATGATTTTTCCATATATGGCATTAGTGGAAATATGCTTTTAGAGACTTTTTGGTTGATAAGTACGTTTTGCTGTGTGAAAATCACACGCACCTGGTGCGTGCGTGTGTTTAGGTTAGTAAATCACCCCCTTTATGTTTGAGTAGATTGCTGCAGGCTTTGCACGATCTCTGGAGTAGGTGGATAACAACAACACTGGGGACAGAACAGCTACAGACAGAAAAATAGGGCTTTGGATGATAAGTAAAAGTGTCATGGAATCTTCTAGAAAAAAGCATCAAATTGATAATTACAACTGTTTATATAAATGTTTGACACACCCCAGTGTTTTAAGGGTCCAGCACAGATAATTTTTTAATGATTTTTAATCAGTTGATTTCATGTTTACTTTATAGATTTTTCCAATTTTTCTGAAATTCTCCATATCCCTTCCCATTTCAACAATATACCTAATAATACACTATACCTGATGTGTTTCTAAATGCTAGCTTTCCATTGCATGGTCTGCGCAGCTAAACTGTGTGTAAACAGTGCATGCCCTGGGATGACAATAAGGAATTGCTAGCCTATCAACATAGTAGTTTATGCAGTTCAGCACAAGCTGGCAGACCATTTCCTAAAATTGCACTCGTTCTTAAAATGGAATCTCTCACAAAGCAATGTTTTAGGAACCTTTTGATAGGAGCGCCCTTTCTCTGACTTCCATTCTGCATCCCAGTCTAGCACAGAACCTATTTAACTACAGCATTTAAAGCAATAGCTTAGAATGATTATGTAAGGCATAGAGAGACAGAGAATATATGGTTCAATCAGAGGCTTTTCTAACAGATTCCTGCTAAAAGATCCAGAAACAATTATGATTATTTTTTTAACACCCATCAGTGGGTTTTTTTTGCAGTTTGAAATTTTTACACAATGTCATTCTTTTTTTATTTTAATAACAATTGTGTTAAAGTGACAATAAACTCAAGAGGTAAATCTTAGAAATGCATTCACTAACCTTAACTATTAACAATAATGTAGCTCATTTGTTTATTACTCAACTGTAAATCCTCACATTTGTAATGTAGCCATCACTCCAAGCTCGTTCCTGTGATAGACTACAATCTCACGTTTAGTTTACTAGTTTGTATTGAGATTGTACTCCATCATGGGAGTGAACTTGGAGCGGTGGCTACTTTACAACACACACAGGGACCATAGGAAACAAAAGTAGCCACCCTCCAGATGGAAGGACAGTGCAGTGGCGTCACAAAGGGGGTGCGGCCCACACTCGGGTGACACCATTGGAGGGGTGACACCAAAGTGACTCACAGTCATTTTGGTGTCACCCCCCTCTGAAAAGTCGGGCGCTCACACCAAATTCCCGACAGTATCAGGAGAGAGGAGGGGACTCGGCGGCATACCTTATCCCGCCGGGTGACTGTCCCCTCCTCTCTCCGGCAGGTATCAGAATACTGCCGCGTGTGCACGATGACGTCATCGCGCACGCGCGTGGTGACGTCACACGCGTGCGCAGTGTCGTCTCGGCGGGGTGACACT